CTGCGTAGGTTCGAGCATGTTTTGCATCTTGTTCGACTGTTTTCTATGCTTCGTACAACATCCGCCTGTAGGGGACATGCCCGGCCTAACCCTAGTCCACGTTTGCTGTTGGGGCATCGTCCCCAAGCCTTGCACCCCGCTTCCGGGCGTGCCGGGTGGCTCCAGACTCTGGCGCGAGAAGCTCAGTCTGGTGATGCCAGAAGTGTCCCTGGCCAACGAGCACCCCTCACGAGGCCCAGGGGTCCCCAAGGGCCCCAAGATGGCACGAGAAAGCGGGGACACCAGGAGCCAGGAGCACCCATGGCAACCCTCGGATCTGGGATCGAGGCCTTTGAGTGGTTTCTCTTCCCTCTTGCTGACCTCTGGGGGCCAAGGCATCGCGCGATGCGGAACCGGCCGAGCCGGAGTTGTTTCGAATCTCCGGTGTCTGCAAGCTGCTCCTGGGCCCTGCAAAAGGAGGGAAGCGTGTGGGGGGGGCATCCATCCCGCCGGACCGCCCGCGGGCGCACGAGGGCGGCGACGACGGCACGCCTGGCAGCCACGGGCGAAGGGCGAGGTCTAGCTGGATCCGCGCGAGGCCCCACTCCGCTGGACCCCCCCAGAGGCGCAGGGAAGAGGTGACGGTGGCACGCCTGGCATCAGGCGATGGGCGATATCTCGTTCGATCTGAGTGTGTTGCTGCTCCGCCGGATCGCCCCCCCTAGGGAGCAGGAAGCCTTCCTGCACCAGGGAGGGGGCGAGGCCTCCTTGGGTCTGCGTGCGACTTTGTTTCTGAGGCCAGAGGCGCAGGACGGCGGCGACAATGGCACGTCCAGCATGAGGCTGACCTGCTTGTGTCACCAGCTCGCAGGGTTCTCCCAGTGGCGCAGGGGAGCGGTGACAGTGGCACGCCTGGCAGCACCCGGGGAGGGGCGAGGTCTCGTTGGATCTCGCGTGCGTGGGCGCATTGCCGGATCCCCCAGACGCTCAGGATGAGGCGACCGTTGAGCGCGAGGTCTCTTTGGTCTGTTTGCGCGCCGGCACTTTGCAAGAACTCCCGGGCAGCGAAGGATGGCGAGGTCTTGGCTGGACCTTCGAAAGACCGCCCTCCGCTGGTCCCTCCCATTTGGGCGCATGTGCGACAGTTGCGCAGCCCAGTGCACCCAGGGAGGGCAGGATCCCGTTCGGGCCTGCGTGAGGCCGCAGCCCGCTGCAATCGCCAGGGGTGCAGGACGCCGTCGGTTCTTGAAGGCCTGGCTCAAAAATGCAAAAGGGGCATGCGGCATACACATAAACTTTTGGCGCTGCGCGGATTTCCTGGATCCACGCTGGAATCTCCCCGGCGGCGCCTCCGGCGCAGCCCCTGGCGTGCTCCGCGCGCCAGGGAGGGGGGCCCAGCGCAGATACAAGAAGAAATCCGCGCGGAGCGCCAAACGTTTATGTTTATGCCGTTTTTTCTTCTTCTACTGGCAGCACCCAAGGAGGGCGGGGTGTCTTGTGTGTGTTGCGGAATGCCGGGTTCAGCTGGAAAGTGGCGACATAAAGTGGCGACAGTTGCGCGTCTGGCAACATCCATCGCGGGCGAGGTCTCATTTGGGCCTTCGTGCGGCATCATTCCGATGGACCCCCCAAGGCCCAAGGCGCGGCAAGGAGAGTTGTTTAAGTCCTTTGCTAGGTCAGGCGTTTCGGTCCCATCCTCCCCATTACGTTAGCGCCCCCCACTCCGTAGTGTTCCCCTGGCATTGCTGCAGCGCGCGCGCGTGCACCACAGCCTCGTAGCGACGTGCGGTCGTACCGCCCGCGTGGTGTTCACAGGCCACTGGTGCTCGCAGCCTATTGTGGCGCTCGTCGGCTAGGCTACTGTGACGCTGCGCGCACGCGTGGCGCTCGCAGATGTCCTGACAGGTACCGGTTCCTCCGCCCTCTGGTCGGGAGCGGTTGCTGCAAGCGCCTGCTGCGGCGGGCGCCTCCGCCGTCGTTCCTGGGGTCTCCAAGAGATCCCTTTGCCTTCTCCCTCCCCCCCCCTTTCTGGGGACGTGGAGAGTCCTAACTTTTTCGACGATGGCGCAGCCTCAGCCGTCAAGACCGTCGTCGTCGCCGTCCCACTCCTCCTCCACCTCCTCTTCCACCTCGTCCTCCTCCCCGTCCTCCCCCTTCGGCCATGTCCCCCTCCTAATTACCCTGTCGTGGTTATCATCCTTCTCTTCATCCTCCCTCTCCTCTGTCTTCTGCTCGTCCTGCTCATCCTGCTCGCTCTCCACGTCCTCCGCATTGTCCTTGTCCTGCTCGTCATCATCGTCGTCGTCCTCTTCGTCCTCGTCATCTTCTGCTCCGTCGTCCTCGTCGTCCTCATGGTCCTCCTCGTCGTCCTCGTCCCCGTCGTCATTTTCGTCGTCGTCTCCGATATCCTCGATGTCGGCATCGTCGCCATCGTCGTCATCCTCGTCGTCGTCGCCCTCTTTCTCGTCCCTTCGTCTCCTCCTCCTCCTCCTCCTCCTCCTCCTCCTCCTCCTCCTCCTCCTCCTCGTCCTCCTGCTCCTCATCGTCGCCGTTGTCCTCCTCCTCCTACTCCTTTTCCTCCTCGTCTCGCAGGCTTGTGTGGCACCTCCAGGCCCTGGCATGCTGTTTTGTAGGCATTTGGCGCTGGCAGGCTATGGTGGTTCTGGCAGGCTCCAGCCTCCCTCGCCATCTGGCCCTCGCAAGCGCATTGCGGTGCTCACGGTGCTCGCAAGCTGTTGAGATGCTCACGGGAGACTTGCTGCGTTCGCGAGCACGTTTCGGCGTTCATATGCCGTTGCGGCCTTTGCAGCGTTCCTGGTAGTCGCGCGCACGCTGGTGGTGTCTTTGTGGGCGCTCACAGGCTTAAGGGTGGTAAAGCGCTTACAGGCTGGCCTGGTCGCGTGCTAGTGCAGTCGGGGCGCTGAGGAAGGAACCCTTTTCGTGGGGGAGGGGCTCGGTGTTCCTTGGTTGCTTTGCAGTTCGCCTTTGGTTTTGCTCAAGGTTTCGGTGGGAAATCGAAGTTTGACTTCTGGGAAGAAGGGGCCTCGTTCCTTATTTAGGGTTCCTTAGGTCAACGCCCCGACTGTATGCGACTGGCATCAAGGGCATAAACAAAACGCCCCTACCCTGATTTACAAGGCGCTGTGCGCTGAAACTCCTGTGGGCTGACAGGGTAAAACCTGCGTGATGTGCCGCGTCCTGGAGGCTCTAGGCTTTGGGGGTTTTCCAGGAGGTTTACAGACCACGCAGTTGTAACCCAGGGTCGCAGGCGATGTTTCTCCCCCAATCCCCGAGTTTCGCCGAAAAAGTTTGGCCGCTCAGAAAAATTGAAAAACCCTGGGATACACCCCAAGGGGGCTATTCGGACGCACCCCTATCGAAGATGGGCACCCCCCCATCGTATATCCCAGGGTTAGGCCCCAAATTTCTGGTCCATTCGGAAACCCCACGAAGCCTGGGATAGGGGTCGACATATCCCCTGTTACAGGGTAGGGTCGCTTTTTCGCCCCTCAATGGCAGACACCTTGTGCCTCTCGCTGGGCTGCCGTGGCTGTGCGCCGGGGTGTGTGCCCGCCCTCTCCCTCGCCTTCCGGCGGCTGCTGCCGCGCGTGGGGTGCCCGCCGCCGGACTACGCTGGGGCGCGCGGGCGCCACGCCTGCCCCTCTGCCGCGGTGCTTCGGTGCATGCTCAGGAGCGAAAGAAGGACGTACGGTAGGTTCGTGCGGCGTTGGCGCGCCAGCGACGCCGGCGAAGGCGTTCAAGGTTGAATTCTGCGACGCGGAAGCACCGAGGGACGCGGTAACGCCACTGGACCCGGCTGAATTCAACCTTGAACGACCGGGGCCGCGATCGATTCAAGGTTGAACGATCGACGCGGTGTCGAAAACCTTTGCGCGCGCCGTCGCCGCACGAACCTACCGTACATGTACATGACTCCACGCTGGTTTCGAGACCACGCATTGCACAAATGTTCGTCTAACGCGGCCCGTCTTGCGAATCGAGGGGCCGTGTTCATGCACATAGCTGGGCGCGTACGTCCTTTGTGGGCTCCCTAACATGTTTGATCTGCAGGGCGAGAGCGAACCTCTTCCGCGGAAAGCTGCGCGGGACGCGCAGAGCTTTAATGGGCAGAGAGAGGGCGGAAGGAGGCGGGGCCTCACGCGGCCGGGGGCGGGCGAAGCCCAGGGATCAGGCGGTGCCGAAGGGGACGTGCAGGAAAAGGTACACACACATATAGTGCTTCGATACACGCGAGGCTGTTCTCTCAGACGAGATCTCGACTGGCATTCGACCCATCCCGCCACCGTGCCCGGGTGGAGGGTCTGAGGCCTCTTGGATGTTCGTTGGGATCTCGTCGAGACCTCTCGGGGGTCTCCTGGAGGCACTTCTGCTGCCTCCGGGGGGCCGTTTGGGGGGCCTCTTTGGGGCCTCTGGGAGGCCTTTTGAGGCCCTGTGTGGGCGTGGGGGGCCTCTTGGGGCATCTTGGGTCTCCTGAGCGCCTCGTGGGGCGGAAGGCTTGGATTTCCGATTCGTGGTCCCCCTCTTGGGCCCCTCTCGGGGCCGTCCTGGGGCCCTCTTGGGCCGTCTTGGGCGCCTCTTGGGCCGTCTTGGGGGCCTCTTGGGCCGTCTTGGGGCGATCTTGGAGCGGTCTTGGGGGCCTCTTGGGACGTCTTGTAGCGCTCGCTCGGCGGTTTGAAGCCCTCTTGGGCCGTCTTGAGGGCCTCCTGGGCCACTCGTGACTCTCGTATTGGGGCCCCCGTGGCTCCGAAGAAGTAACGCAACAACGCTCCCCGGGGGGTTGGGGGCCGCGTGCCACACCCAAGAAATTCTGACAATTTGGGGGTCCGGGCCCCTGAAAGAAGCTTCAGGATTGCAGACTGGGGCTCAGGGAACTGAGCAGAGGACCAGAGGGCACAACTCGTGCCCGAGGACACGGTGGTGGGCAGAAAACTCCTACATCTACGGACACGCGGGTGGCGGAGAGAGCTCGTCCCGGGCAAGGGGGGGAGACAAGCCCAGAGGCCGGCGACTGCGGTCGAGCTGTCGGGAGGCCTGCGGGCGGGGGGGGGGAGGCCGCGGGAGCCCGGCGCGTGCGCGGCCCTGGCCACGCTGGCCGCCGCGCCGGCAGCCGCGCCGCCCGCCGGGGGCGACCGCCCGAGGAGCTGGGCCGGCGCGGCCCTGCTGTGCGCCGCCGGGGCGGGCGCCGCGCTGGGCGTCGGGCGGCGGGCGGAGGGCGGCGGCGGGCCCGCGCGCTGCGAGGCTGCGGGCGGCGGCGAGCTGCGCTTCGTCACCTACAACGTGCTCGCGCCGCCGCTCGCGGAGCAGAAGGGGCACTTCTCGCAGTGCGAGGCGCGCGTTTTCCGCTTCACCGTTTTGCCGATCGGCGCGGGGCCTCGCTCGCCCCCCCATCCCCCTCCCCCCCACCCCTCTGGAGTAGATCTTGGCTGTCTCTGGCGCCTGCTCCAGGCAGGTGGAGAGCCCCGCCCCTGCGGGACGCACTGTTGCACGCGGCCGCCGTGAGCAGAGGTCCAGAGCAGCAGCCGCAGCAAGCAGCCGCAGTGAGCCGCCGCAGTGAGCAGCAAGCAGCCGCAGTGAGCAGCAGGCCGCCGCAGCAGCAGACCCGCCTCTCCCCCCCCTCGCCGCCCGATGTCGAAACGCCGGACAAGAGAACGCTCACGAGCCTGGCGCCCTGGTGCGCTCCGATCGCCTGGAGCGGGTGCTGCGGAAGCTGGAGCCGCACATCGCTGCGGGCTCCGTCATCGGCCTGCAGGAGGTGTCGCTCGAGTGGGCGGGCAAGCTGTACGCGGCCTTCAGCAAGCGCAACTACACCTTTGTCTAGCCGGCTGCCTGCGGCGAGCCCGGCCGCCGTGCCTATACAGTGCCGAAGAACATCCAATGATGGTGCTGCCGAGGCCTCCGAGCAGGCTCGGTGGCACCATCATTGGGCCTTCTGGGAAGCTGCTCTGCGATGCTGCAGCGTGGCGCATCCGTAGCGTCGTACACGGTTGATGCGATGGGGTGTTGGGGGCTATGCCAGTGTTCATGGAGGCCTTCGGCGGCGTGTTGGTGACCTCTAGAGGGGCGCGTCGGTCCTGTCGCTGTCGGGGGCGCGCGAGTACGGGTGGGGTCGCCCATGCGAAATGACAGAAGCCGCTACTGGAGAGCTCACAGGCAGTCTAGAGTCTAGCACGCCCCCACGTGCCAAGGGCACGGTGGCGGACTGCTCGTATGGGCAGGAGTTCAACGGCTACATGGGCGTAGGACTCGCCTGGCCAAACGAGCTGTACGAGACCGTTGACGTTGAGCTGTGCCGCCTGTCCGACACGGTGCCCCGGGAGATCTGGGCCCAGAAGATCGACGCGAGGCCTGCTGACGGCATGAACCGCTTCGGCTTTCTGACCGAGAAGGGGCTGCGAGAGATCCTCGGCTGCCAGCTGCCCGCGGCCGCTTGGGCCTCCAGGGAGCCCCCGAAGGGCGAGGACTGGGCGGTCGCCAGGAGCCGCAGGAACGAGCTGGCCGTGGCGAAGCTGCGGCCCCGCGGTGGTGGCAGCCCCTTCTGCGTGGCCTGCTACCACATGCGGAAGAACAGACAGCGACGTGAACACTTCTGGACACTCCTACCAGCGTGAGCTCCAAATTTCGGCGGCGAGCCCGGTCGGAAGTGAGACGGGGCGTGCCTTCTCAGAAGGCTCGGAAGTCCCTCGGCCCTTTGAGAAGTGTTTTAAGCCCCCCCCCGAAGACACAGAAGACCTCTCGGAAGGCCGGAGGGCTTCTGAGAAGTCCCGCCGCCTTCTGAGAAGGCCTTCTCCTTCTCACTTCCCCCCTCGCTCGCCGCCGAAAAACTGAGTTTGTCCGAGAAACTGGGGCGCTCAGATTGTGATGATGACGATCGAACTCAATTTGAATGCCAAGGGATCTCGACTGGGCCGCATGGGATGGTCGGACTCAATAAGGCTCCATAGGACCCTAGTGGACTCCATAGGATTCAACTGGAATGCACTGGATTCCAATCCTTTGCATTTGATTGCTTTGCATTGCAGTGTAGTGCATTGCATTGCATTGGACTCTAGTTGGTCTCCTCGAGACTCCATATGATTCAACAGGTCCCCAGTGGACTCAATTCTGGGATATTCATAGGACTCCATACTACAGGACTCCATTGGACTCCATGGGGACTGGTTCATAGGACCCTTTTGTTTCCATTGGTTTACATGTTACTCCATGGATCTCCATGTTCTCCGTAGAAATGCATTGCACTCCATCGGCCTCCATGCGAAGACCCACAGGACTCTATTGGACTTCAGTGGGATGCCCATAAGGGTCCATTGGGCAACCAGGGAGATCGGCTGGAATGCCCGTTTGGAGTGCCCATGCGAGTAGATGGGTATGCCAACTGGACTCCAGCGGAATGCCCGTAGCAACATCTTAGAAAACCAGGTGGGCCCGTAGGACTCCACCGGGCTCCGGACAAGTCCGGTGGACAATACCCACAGAAGTCCATTGGACTCCACTGAGCCTCATGTGACTCCATGGGAGTTTTCATGGAGCTCAATTCGAATCGAAGGGCTCCAACGGGCTCCACCTGATTCTAGTGGGACACCCGAGTTCCGTGGAGTCTTGTGGACTCAAGTTGTCTCCACAGATTTCATTTGACTCCGAGGGGCTCCATAGGATTCCATTGGAATGCCCGTAGGGGTCCATTGGAATACCACGGGGATCCATTGGAACAACACCGATAGGATGTCAACGGTGCCGTTAAGATGCCCAAAGGAGCTCATTAAATTGCCAATCGGAATCGGTGCCATCATATTCCATTGCGATACCCCTAGGGATCCTCTTTGGGAGATCCACAGGAGCCTGTTGAACCGGGCATTGTAGGAATCCTTGTGAAGACCCAAGATCGCGCAAGGCCCAATCGGGGGATGGGGTGCAGCGGATCTCAGCGTGGACCCAACACCAAATTGTTGTATTGTGGACGCAGAATCTTTTCGTGCAGGCCATGTGGTGTAATATGTGTGGCGCAAGCTATGCTGCATAAGGTCTGTGGTGCAGGCTCCGTGGTGTGAGGCATGTGGTGCAGCCTATGCGGTGCAAGCTGTGTCGTGCAGCCGCTGTGGTGCAAGCAGTGCGATGCAAGCTGCGAGGCGCAACGTGTGCAAGGCACGTGGTGTGAGCCATGCGGTGTGAGCTGCGCGCGGGTCGCCCGCCAGGACCCGCGACGGGGCACCGGCCGGGCACGGGGCGAAGCTCGAATAGAAGAAAAACGCCATGAGCATAGACTCTTGGGCGCTCCGCGCGGATTTCTTGGATCCGCGCTGGACCCCCCTCCCTGGCGCGCGGAGCGCGCCAGGAGCGGCGCCGGAGGCACCGCCGGGAAGGCCCATCGCCGGCGCGCGCCAGGAAGGGGGGTCCAGCGCAGATCCAAGGAATCCGCGCGGAGTGCCCAGCATTTCGTTACTGCGTGATTTCTTCTTCTAGAAGCCGCGGCCAGCCCATGTGAGTCTCCAGGTAAACTAAGCACGAGCCTCTACAGTCAACCCGCAGAATAAGGATGGGCAGCCTTCCCAAGGGTACCCTTGCACCCTTGCCCCTTCGGCCCATCCCTGGTCACTTTCTCTGGCCAACCTCGTTCGCAGAACGTTCACGTGGGCCTCCAAGATCCTGGCACCCTCACCGCGCATCCTCATGATACGGGTCGGCGGGGGCAAGCACTGCTTGGGGAATCGCAGCTCCTGTGGGCAGGCCTACTTGGAGAAGCTTTCCGCGGTGCGAGCGGACGCTCCGGTTCGGCGATGGGCCCCCCTTCACGGCGTCTTGGGCGCCGCCCCTGGCGGGCTCCGCGCGCCTGGGAGGGGAAGTCGAGCGTCAACAGGAGAAGTCTTCGCGCGCCTCCGAACGCTGCTGTCCGTCGAGGAAGCACAGGCACTATAAAGAACAGATTCCCGGAGCTCCGCGCGGGTTCGATGGACCTGCGCCTGGGCCCCCCTGGCCAGCGCCTCCGTGCGGGTATAGCCAGGACCCCGGGTAAGGGGACGCGGTTAGTGGTGAGGCCCTGGGGCCCCTCCACTGGCCAGATTCACTAAACCAGGCTTGCCGTAACCGGTGTTTCTTCGAGTGACGGCAGTTCCAGTTGGTGGAAATGGGACCGGGGGGGCGCCCCCAGTACAGATCACTAAACCAGGTTCCACGAAACCCAGTTCTGCCAACGCCCGATGCGTGGCCGCACCTGGCGCGCTCCGCGCGCCAGGGAGGGGGGTGCAGCGCCGATCCAAGAAATCCATGCGGAGCTCCGGAAGTGTATGTTTGTGTCGTGTTCTCTTATCCTGCGTCGTGCTTTCTTCGTTCTTCTGCGCATGCCGTGCCTCTTCGGCCCGCCAGAGAAGGTTGATGGGCCTGTTTTCCACCACCACCACCACCATAAGTTGGAGGGGGAGGTGGTCCTCCTCCTCCTCCACCTCCTCCTCCTCCTCCTCCTCCTCCTCCTCCTCCACCTCCTCTTCGTCCTCCTCCTCCTCGTCCTCGTCCTCCTCCTCCTCCTTCCCCCCTCCAACTTATCGTAGTGGTGGTGTAAAACAGTCCCGTCAAAGGTGCGCACGAGGAACATTCACGCCCTGCTCATGCTCGGCAAGGTCCATGAGTTCGCGGCCGGGGACGCGTGCGTCTTCCTCGGCGACTTCAACTGGAACCCGCGGGATTCGAGCTACATGCTGCTCGAGAGCGGCGGCGACGTCGCCGCAGTGGCAGCGTTAAGTCGGGCCTGTCCCTCTGCAGGAGGAATATTCAAAAATAGCTTAAAAAATAGTATGGGGACGATCTTTTGAGTATGTTTGGGTATTTCTTGAATATTTGTGGGGTAGTTTTAATTTTTCGCTCAAAATCCGCCTGTAGGAGGACCCGCCCGACTTAATGGCAGCGCAAAACGACACGTTCCGTCAGGAGGTCATGGGACTCGAGCCTGCCGCGCAGCTGGCGAGCAGGTCCGCGCCGGGCGGCCTGCGGAGCGCCTACAAGGCCTTCCACGGCTCCGAGCCGCGCTTCACGAACTACGCCCGCAACCGCGACAACCCGCCCTTCTGCGAGACCCTGGACTACATCTCGAGGAGCGCGACGTGGCACTGAGCATCGGCTTCCGGAGGTCCGCGGGCACCTGCAGGGGTCGGCGCCAAGGCCCCCCCCTCCTCCGGCGCACGGGGCGCGCCGGATGGCGGCGGCAGTGGCACCGCCCCAGGGGGGGGGGGCGAGCCAGGAGAGCCTCGCGGACCTCCGAAGGCTCATGCCCGCGCTTCCCTCTGCTCCTCCGCGCGTCGTCTTCTCCGCGGGCCGCTTCCGCGTGCTGGCCTGCCCAGAGCTGCCCAGGGATCCGCCGCAGGGCATCCGGTCCTTCCCGTCGTTGGCCGAGCCGTCCGACCACGTCCTCATGGCGGCCACCCTCCGGCCCGAGGGGGGCGCGCCGTAGCGCGGCGTTGCCATGGGGGCTCTCCACGACTGCTCCGCGGCGTGGCAGCGCTTCGAACGAGGTATCCAGCGGCGTGCCAAGCGCGGACGCTCCGCCGTGCCGTGTCTTCATTCTTGTCGCAAGGCCGCTGTTGTTGCCGCTCTCTCTCTCTCTCTCTCTCTTTCTTATCTCTCATTTCTTCTCTCTTTCTCCTCCTCATCACTATCTCTCTCTCTCTCTCTTTCTTATCTCTCATTTCTCTCGTTCTCCTCCTTATCTCTCTCTCTCTCTCGCCGCTCTCTTTTTCTCTCTTCCTCTGTCTACGCGTTTGGCCCAAGGCTGCCTCCTGAGCCCAGGCCTGGAGCCCAGCCTCCCGGCCTCAGCCCCAGCACGCCTGGACGGTTGCCCAGCCCACCGCCAGGGATCGCTCTCGCCCGCTCTCCCACTCCAGCGCCCGCCGCGCCGTTGCGGGCAGCAACTCCGAGCCGATCGACAAGAATGAGCATAAGCGCATCGATTCCAGGCTCGCTCGCAGGGGTACCCGCGCCGCCGCTCTCCAAGAAGCAGGCGCTCTCGTGCCACTCCAGCACTCGGTCAGCTGTCTTCAGCCGCCTCCACCGAGCTCGGCCGTGCTTACCACGACCATGCCGACCACCCCAACGGGCTCCGCAAGGCTCTGCAACGCCTCCTGCGACCAGTGCAAAATCGGCTGGACCTTGGCTCACCACCGAGCCTAGAAGCAATCACGCCAAGGGCGCGCGGATGAGCCCAATCGCTCGGAACGACGCTCCGACACTACAAAGAGGCCGATCCACAGCTGGGCGATTTCGGAAACCCTGAGCCCAAAAACATGTCCATCTTTTCGGAGCGCATTTTTCACTTCCGCCACCTTCTGCCGCCCTTCCGCTGGCTTCCGCCGGCGGAGGCGGCCTCGTTTTGCTTTCCCCGACCTTCCGCGGCCCTTCCGCCGCCTTCCGCCGCGGAAGAGATGACAACTCCTTCTACTCCCGAAGGCAAGGCCCTTTTATGGAACGCCCCAGCTGATGAGTCTGGATGCGGCACACAGGTCAGCCACCTGCCTCTGATCGGCAATGAGCAGGAAGGGATGGCAAAGGAACATGAAGGGAGGAAAGACGGGATCAGAAAGGCAAGCAGACGGTGACCGGTAAGGGGGACACGAGGGATGAAGGCAGGGAGGCACCACCAGTCTTCGCCCAGCAAGCTTCCGCCAGCTACCTGCTGCGCAGGCGCCCGCGTGCGGCAGCGGGGCGAGCAGGGCGCCCGGCCACTTGGCCTCGGTCGGGCCTGCCCCTCTGCAGGAGGAACATTCGGAAATAGCGAAAACACTTGAGACGACTTGTTGGGTTTGTTTTATAGCATGCTTGGAGTCTGTGTCGACTACTTCTAATCATTCGTCAAAAACTCCCTGTATAGAGGGGGACAGGCCCGACCCAGCACCAGCGCGCTGGCGCGCCTCTGGGGAAACCGACGACGACGTACACATAACACGCGGAGGTCCGCGCGGAGTTCCTGGATCGGCCCTGGACCCACGAGGCAGGTCAGGGGCGGCGCCAGAGGGGCGCCGCCGGGGGGGCCCCAGCGCTGATCCGAGGCCTCCGCGAGCACCTCCGAGCTTGTGCCGTGCTGTTGTCCCCCTACTTCCTTCCACCTCCTACCTTTGGCCTTCCACCGCCGGCCCGGCCTGGCCCGCGACGCCTCGCCGAGCCCCCCCCCCCTCCGCGAGGGGCCCTCCCCCGAGACCGGGGAAGCCTCACCACGGCAGCAGTCGTGCGTTTCGGCGCCTGCCCGGCGTCGTCAATCTTCTCGCCCCCCGCGCCGCACGCTTTTCCCTAGCCGGCAGGGCTCGGCGCACCCGCCGCTTGCTGCGGGGCGCCCGCGCGGGGAATCCCCGTGCGCATCCGGGCCGTCTCTCTCTCTCTCTCTCTTTTTCTCTCTCTCTCTGTTTTTTTTTTTTCTTTTTTTTCTTTTTTTTTCTCTCTCTCTCTCTCTCTCTCTCTCTCTCTCCCCCCCCTCACTCTCACTCTCTCTCTCTCTCTCTCTCTCTCTTTCTGCCTCTCCTCTCATGCGGGCGCGGTGCAGACACAAAGGATGAGCCAGGCGACGGGGAGCAGCAGGAGGAGGAGGGGTGAGGAGGACGAGCGGGCAAGGGGAAAAGGAAAACAGAGGAGGAAGAGGAGGAGGAGACGGAGGAGGAGACGGAGGAGGAACGAGGAGGAGGAGACGGAGGAGGAGGAAGAGGAGGAACGAGGGTGCGAGGGAGGCATCAATGGAGGCAGGAGGGGGGGAGGGCGGGAGGAGGAAGAGGAAGATCGAGGATCGGTGATACTCGATCCTGATCCTCGGCCCTCGACACTCGTTCCTCCTCGATCCTCGATGCGCCTCCTCAGATCATTCAGGAGGGAAAGAAACACACAGACACAATTAATTGTCGACTCGCAGGAAAACATGGGAAAATATGGAAGTGGGGGGGAAGACGAAAACCTAGAAAATATGGGAAAATCTGGGGAATCCTGTTATTAGTGTCTATTTATTTGTGTGTCCCTGTGCCCCTTCAATCTTCTTCTTCCTACTTGGAGCCGACTGGGAGTCTGATGTGGCCCAGCGTTAGTTCTGACGAGCAGGAAGGGAGGGTGAGGTTCGAGGTTGTGGGTTCGGGAGACTTCTTGCTGGGTCTATCTCTGCCTCGGGGGGGGGGCCGCTTTCAGGCCCCAGGACGCTCAAGAGCGGATCCAGGGTGAACACATGTACCAGATGCACCTCCGGAGGGATCCGACACCCATTTCACGAGCGGATCTGGCCTGGCCGCCCCCCCCCCTCTGCATCGACCTTCTGGGGTCCCCTCCGGCTCAGACCCCTCCGGAAGCCCCGGCAGTGTGCTCGCGCAGCCGCACCGCCGCGGCCGCGGCCGCGAGACTCCAGCAACATGCGGGACTGGAAAATGACCACAGCCGCTGCTTCTTGTTTGCGCCGCCTTCCAGCCGGCCGAAAGAGAAGCAGTGGCTGTGGTCCTTTCCCCGGTGCCAGGCTCCACGCGAAAATGACCACAACCACTGCCTTGTTTCTGCGGGCTGGAAGGCGGCAACAAAAGAAAAGCAGTGGCTGTGGTCGTTTTCACGCCCCGTAAACAGGTCCGCCGCCAGGGGGATGTCCCCGGGAGCGCACCGGGCCACCTGCCCGAGGGGCGGCCCTGGGCGTGCGGCGCCCCTCCTTGGTTCGGGGGTGGGCAGACCTCCTACCCTGGCACGTCGATTAGGGAACTGTCCTTTTTGTTCGGTGCTCGAGAGGGCGCCGCGGCCGTCACTTTCCAGGCTTGCGCCCGCCAGGTTTGGGCCCGAGGTCGTCTTCACGAAGCCACGTTTTACTAAAGGGAGGTCTGTCCATCCCCGATTGGTGGCGTTTGCTCGGCCAGCTTGGATGGTTAGTTTTGAGTCGGCAGGTCCCAGTACAGGGGGAATAGTCAACCATAGTTTTTAAGGAAAGTCAGGGGATTTTTTGTTGTAGTATTGCTGACCATTCTTGAACATCTTTGACCATTGTCAATTCTTCCTCGAAGATCGGCCTGTAGGGGGGACGGGACCGACCTCAGGATAGTTCCTCCGCGGAGCAGCGGGCTTCTCCTGCCCCGGGGGCGAGCTTCCTTTCGTCCCTGGTCTTGGCCGCCTACGTCCCCTTCTCTTTGTCTTGGCCTCCTAGATGGGGTCGGCGTAGATGGGGTCGGATGATTGCGCCACATTGCTGATGCGTCGCCGATGCGGCCCGATGTGGAGCCCGATTCGCTTCACGTCGACGTCGCCGATGCATCGCCGTCGTCGACGATGCATCGCCGGTGCATCGTCGATACATCGTCGATGCATCGCCGATGCATCGGCCGTGCGGTGCGATCCTCCGTCCCCATCTACTCCGACCCCATCTAGGAGGCCTCTACTTGGGGCCCAGCGTGCTCCTCCCCATCTCCTCCTCCTCCTGCTCCCTGCCTCCCCAGAGTCGAGGTGGACGTCGTGCGTCCGTGGTCGGCGGCCCGCCGCAGGCGCCTGGGGGCCCGCGGGCGCGGGAGACCGACGCCCCCGCAGCAGCACCCAGCGGCTCCGGCCGCGGGCGCGGCTGGGGGCACCGGCCCCGCGGAGGCGGCGGCCTCAGGGGGGGGGGCCGGAAAGTGGGGCACGTCGGCTGCACGTCAGAGTGACTTAAAAAGGGAACGAGCAATGACATGAGCATAACAGCTCGGAGGTGCGCGCGGATTTCTCGGATCGGCGCTGGACCCTCCTGGCGGCGCCTCTGGCGCCGCCCCTGGCGCGCTCCGCGCGCCAGGGAGGGGGGTCCAGCGCCGACCCGAGAAATCCGCGCGGACCTCCGAGTTGTTATGTTTATTATGTGATTGTTCGTTTCCCTAGAAGTGGGGCATGCCGACTGCACGTAAGAATGATCCTTCGCCGGAGTGATCTGTGGTGCGGACCCACTGGGCCCCCCCGACTGTTGAGCGCTTCGCGCTTGGGTCTGACCCCCTCGCGCCCCCCAGAAGCCGCGCACCAGAGGTCACTCTTGCCAGCCGAGAATGGAGGGGAGGGGCGGAGGGGAGGAGGAGGAGGAGGAGGAGGAGGAGGAGGAGGAGGAGGAGGAGGAGGAGGATCAGGGCCAGGAACAGCAGGAGAGTGAGGAACAGGGGAGGGAGGGGCCTCTCTCAGGTGCCGGCCGGAGTGGACAGTAGAGGATCTCCTATCGGGCCAGCATGCTTTTTGCGCGTATCCGGGGAATCGTGAGACTCGAGTTCTCCGGAACTCGGGTTGGCCGGTGCTTTTTCGCGAGCTGGTCCTGGATTTTGACAGTCCAATGTTCGTGGGATGTCTGCAGCGAGAGCTCGCGTCAAATTTCAAATTGGGTCTCGTCATTTCCCTGACGGCCCCATCAGGCCAACCCGAGACCTCCGAACCCGAGTTCTACGTCTCCCTGATCTAAGTATGTGTCAGTGGGAGGGAGGAGCAGGAAGAGCGGGCGTTGGGAGGAGCGACATTACGAAAACTGCAGGAGTCCAGAGTTGGAAACGCGGAGCTACGCATTTCAGGGTTTCCGCTTCCAGGGATGTCTAGGTTTCCATTTCTAGAGTGAGTGGTCTTCGCAGAGGATGTTTTCCCGCAGGTTGCACCATCATACTTGTGACCATGCCTTGTGATAAACATCTTGCGGGTAGCAGGAAGGTCTAAGTTTGAACTCGGACGACCCTGCGCGAGGCAGGTGGCCAGAGCACCCTGTAAAAGCCAAGGCCTTCAACGCAGCCTGGGACAGGCAGAGTCGACAGCATCGTTTTTCGTTCGTGCTTGCATCTCGGTGACCCCCCCCAGACCCATTTGCGGCGACCCCACCTCCACCCTTATCCTGCTTTCTTCTTTCTTCCTCTGGGCCCCAGGTCAGCATGTTGACGGCCTTTAGCCTCTTGCTAGTAGTTAGGCGGCTGGCTGTGGTTGCCAATGCCAGTGCAGCCTCGTCTAAGGCAATGCCAGACATAGCCACCGGAAATCTGGCACCTTCCGTGGGATCCGAAACAATACCCCTCTTCCCCCCTCCTCCCCCTCTTTCCCCCCCCCCTTTTTTCCGTGCCCCTCCTCCTCCTCCTCCTCCTCCTCCTCCTCCTCCTCCTCCTCCTCCTCCCACTCCACAAGGACTCAATATGAATACTACTCTCCTCTCTCCCCGGAAGATGTCCGGCCCCCCTCCGCGTATTGTTTTTTCCAGGGTTCCTTGGAGTTGGGTTTCCGTTTGGTTTTTGGTAGCAAGATGTAGTTCCCGCTGAAGCGCTGGCCTCATTTTCGGGCTTCGGCTCTTTCCGAGCCGTGCTCCCGCTGCAGCGATGGCCTCGATTCCGCGCTTACGCTCGTTCCGAGCCGTGCTCCTGCTGCAGCGCTGGCCTCGTTACCGCGCTTCCGCTCGCTCCGAATCGTGCTCCCGCTGCAGCGCTGGTGTCATTATTTCCAGTGCCATGCCACGGCATGCAATTCAATGCTATCTTGTGTTCCGCTGTGCGATGCCATGCCTGCAGCTGCAATGCTAGGATATGCAGTGCTTGACTACGCAGTGCCACGCCATGCTATGTCATGCAACGCTTTGGTCTTCAACGCCATGTTATGCCATGTTCTTTTCTGTGCCGCTGTGCGATGCCATTATTTGCGTTGCAACGCTTTGTGACGAAATTCTTCACTACGCAACGCCACGCCATGCTATGACATACTACGCTCTGCCGTGCTCTTTTACGCCCTGCTATGCTGTGCTCTACGATGCATCGCGCACCCTTCCAGGATCACTGTCCTGCTGGTTATCCAACTGCGAATAGAGAAGGGATCTACGGCATGGTAAGGGAGGAGAGGGAGGGGTAGGACGTCAGATATGACGCCAGCGCACCTAGCTCGTCCTCCTCCTCCTCCTCCTTCTCCTCCTACTCCTGCTCCTCCTCCTCCTCCCCCTCCACACGCGCCCCGTCCTCCCCTCCACTCGCTGGCGCTGCGGAGACGGCAGCCAGTCGTCGTCGACGAAGTCGTCGACGAAGTCGTCGAGGTCGTCGGAATCATTCAGGGCGTCGATGTCGTGGTCGTCGTCGAGGTTGTCAAGGTCGCCGAGGCCGTCGTCGGCGTCGGCGTCGCCATCAATGTCGGCGTGGGCGTCGTCGCCGCCGAAGTCGTCGAGGTCATCGACGTCATCGGTGGCTCCTGTGTCGTGGTCGTCGTCGAGGTCGTCAAATCGTCGAGGTCGTCGTCGGCATCGTCGTTGTTGTCGTCGACGTTGTCGAGGTCGTCGAGGTCCTCGGCGTCGTCGTCGCCGTCGTCGACCACATCCTCTTCCTTCTCCTCCTCCTCCTCTTCCTCGTGCCTTTCCTCATTGCTGGAATCAGATTTGCAAAGGTCTCCACCCCAAGGAGAGTGGGGCCACCCTTCTGCAAGACATTTTCAGTGTGCTTTAAGCATGCAGCACAGCGGCCGTGCCAAAAAAACACCTCCTCCTCTTGACATCAAGCTCCTAGCTGGCTCTGCGAATCGATTCGGTTCTGAATTTGCTAAACAAGCGGCGAAGGAGCAGCAAGGCTTCGTGGTGGGCAGGCATTCCTATCAATTCCTCCACATAATTATCGCCGTTGACTCGGAGGCGAGAAGGTTGTCCATGCTGCCCTGCGCGCTGTTCAGTGTCGCCGATCTCGGTATGTGCTCGCCTGTCCTTCGATTGGTGTTCGTGAATATGGATATTGCAGTTGCATTCGCGAACTTGATGCACCAGTGGATCTGGCAGATGGCACGGCGCAGTGGAATACGTGGCCCCATGCTCACCTTCCTGAAAGCGTGTTATCGCTTCCCGTTGGTGTGTCGCGACGTTGGTGGCGAGAGACGACCCTTGTTGCCCGCTGTCGGGGACAGCATGTGCCATCCTTTTCGATCCGCTGATAATGAATATGTCTCTTGAGTTGCGCCTGCCACGACGGCGCGGACTGCTCCGTGCATGTGCCGACGACTTGCAGGTGATGCTTGGCTCGCTGAACGACCTGGTCATACTTGTGCCTCACCTGATGGCAGCAGAAACACGGGTTTGTCTCAAGATCCAGGCGAAGAAGTGCGTGATCGTTTCCGTCTGGGCGTTGCCGTCGCAGTCCTTCCTCGGCGAGTTCCGCGAACACCTTGCCTCCGTCCACCCCATTGCAAGGATTTCCAGGTAGAGGCGATGGCGAATTTCCTGGGGGCATTCCATCGGACCTAGAGCGACCAGTGGCCTTCACCGGCGCGCTCCCAGTCTGAAGTGGTGGGGGCACTCCCAGCTTCTCGGCAGCCCGCGGGTTCCGCTGCAGGCTGGCACCAAGATTTGCAACGCCACCACCATCACCACGCTGAGCTAGGTCTGCCAAATCTTCCCGCCGACGAGCAAATCTGCTGGAGCGCGAAACCTTTGCTCTGCACGAAGTTCTGCGCACCGCCTCCTCGAGCTTCACCCAGGCCAACCTCTTTCCCTTGGACGTTGGGCTGCATTTGCTGATCCGCACAGCGTCGAGGCACTCTTGGCAGTAATTATTTGGCACTCGGCGGCTTCTACCATGCGGCGCCGGCGCGATGCCCACGCGACGCTTGAATCCACGGCCGCCGCACACGCTTGCATGCAGAGATATACAGCTTGCAAGTCGTACGGGACTTGCTGGATGGACGCGTCCCCTATCGCCTGTTCCCTCGCCCACGCGGCCAACACTGTAAGAACGGTTTTTTGAAGGCAGATCTGCCCTGTAAGAACGGTTTTTTGAAGGCAGATCTGCCTTCAAAAAACCGTTCCCACCGACTTCGTGAAGGCGCATGCTCGGTACACAGGCGCTGTGCTCATGCACGTGAGGGTGTCGCGTATGCGGATCGCTCCCTTGGACGGGCCCACTGTCTTGCGGCATTGCACGGCGAGCGGGCCCTTGCCGAACGTGCCCGGGCACATAAATGACCCTTCGTCATCATTGCGCTCGTCGCCCAGTCCTCGGCAGTCCATCCTACATGCGCGCCCTGGCCAGTCATTTCTTTCCAGATGAGTTCGAGGCAACGATCCGCAAGCGGGTGCGGAACTGGGCCGGCGATTGATACCCTCTACCTCATGGTTTTCGTTGCCGTTGGCGCCTGGCTCGTGAAGTGCTTCAATTTCTGCTGCCATCTCGTGTCTGGCCCGTGTTGAAGACGCATGCGGTGAGCCAGACTACTTCGCTCCGTCTGCATGTAGTGCCAGAGCAGATGTCCTGCCGCTTCAAATGCATCGATGGCTACTCCAGATTTCGTAATAAAAGGGAGGGGGTCTGAACCCTCCAAGACAAGCCATTTTAGACCTCCCACGCGGGAGAACCCTCCAAAACATCGTCCCCAGACCCCCCAGGCCCTCCAAGATAGCCTGGAATAGACCCCCCCCGCGAAATGAGACCCACCTCCCTTTATTACGAAATCTGGAGTATGGTTCCCTCGAGCACTGCATGCGTTGCCGCGCTCTTTGGCACCTGGTGGCGTTGCCCTGTGGTCCACCAAGATCTCCTCGTGCGTCTCGGGATCTGCGCTGTACGCCAACAGCTGAGGGAGAAATCCAGATTCCACGGCGTGACCCGCGTTGTGGTCATGTTCAGGCTGAACCACTGCTT